CACATTCACTCAGTGAATCACCAGGCTGGTGAGAGTGGCTAAAGAAACCCCTGAGGCTGTGCTGTGGCCTCCTTCCAAAATTACAGCCTCCTCCCCCTCCCTCCCCCACCCTTCTTAGACACTAACTCACATCCCCCCCCCCCCCAGACCTCTGCCGCCTCTTCTCCCCACACCCCCTTCAGCGGACCTACTGCCCCCACCAAACATGGCCATCAGAAGAGACATGCCACCAGCTCCCCCACCAGCTCCATGTCCACTGCCTCTCCTGCCCCCCCGCCATCCTGTGTGGTCCCATCCCCAGCCAGACCCTCCCCCAAGCTCTGGGTACCATCTGTCTCCCCGGCCCAAGGGCAGCTCCCAGGGCCATCACCAGCCTCCAAGATGCCATTCTCTGAACCAGGAAAAGGAACCACACTGCCCACCCCCCACAGCTGACTCAGCCACACACAGGGCACCGAGCCTGGGGGGCGGGACACAGGTCCCCTCCCCCATCATTTACACTTCCCCCTTCTTCACTGACTCACTCCCATCAGCACTTTAAACCACAAGCAAACACACCAAAAACCCTCCCTCTCCAGCCTCCAGGCCCCAGACCACTTCCCCCTCCTCATCACACCCAAATCCTAATCCCTCTCCCCCCCCCACTGACCTCCCTGCAATCAGCACCCCCACCCCGAAGCTGCTTTCCTCCGGGTGACCTCCGAGATGCAGGTCCCTGGCCAGCTCTCAGCAGGACAGTCGTCACTGTCCTCCTTGGAGCCCTCCAGGACACCACCTCTCGGCTTCTGTCCCTCCTGCTGGTTCCCCTTCTCCTGAGCTTTTAGGATTGGAGGTCAGGGCCTCCTTCCTCCCCTGATGCATGCACTCAAGTGACCTCAGCTCCAGACAGTTGAAGGCAGACTCCCATCCCCCCTTCTCCCAGAATGGCAGCTTAGCCTCCTGCTGGCTCAGGAGCCACCCCGACTGCTCGTTCCCTCGAATCACCTGCAATCCATTAGCTAATCGCATCTGCTCTACCTTCCAAAGATACCCGGAACCCAGCCCCTGCTCACCACCTCCAGCCCCACCTGCCCAGGTCCAGGGCCATTGCCTCTTGCGTCCTGACTGGCCTCCCACTCTGCCCTCGCCCCACACCTGCGGCCTACTCCCCACTGAGGCCAGAGCGATCCTGCGAACTTAGATCAGAGCATGTCCTGACTCAACTCAAACAGCCCCAAGGGCTCCCCAGCCCACTCCGTCCTCACTGGAGGCTTCAAGGCCCTACATGAGGAGCCTCTTTGCCATGGAAACACTGTTGGCACACAGCCAGCCTATTGGCTTACGGCTTGTCTATGGCCGTGGTCGGCAAACTGCGGCTCGCGAGCCACACGCGACTCTTTGGCCTCTTGAGTGTGGCTCTTCCTAAGCCTTAGGAGTACCCTAATTAAGTTAATAATAATGTACCTACCTATATAGTTTAAGTTTAAAAAAATTGGCTCTCAAAAGACATTTCAATCGTTGTACTGTTGATATTTGGCTCTGTTGTCTAATGAGTTTGCCGACCACTGGTCTATGGCACTTTCTCACTGCATGGCAGAGTAACTTCAAAGGATGCC